GCCCTACAGATAATACATATAATACTATACTTTGATGATGAAAGTGAGAGTCAGAGTTGCTAAAATATAGTCGATTAATACTCATGTACTCGTAAATGTAGTATCAGATCGGAGTTAATCATATAAAAAATATTTCGCGATCCCTTACAATGTCAATACCTACAATACAAGTAACGAGATATCATCACAAACCAAACCATTTTCCTACTTAGTCCCCCGAGGCTGCATAAATAAGAGACAAAAAGAAAATACTTCCGACTTTATGAAATTCTCACAACGGAACACTGGGCGGGCGAGATAAATTCCCAATTTCCCTATATTCTTGTCGATTAACAAAAACAAAATAACGGGAATACACAAACCAATAAACATCGGTGGCAGGACTTATTATTCCCCCATCAAAGGTGTTGCTTCGTACAATTTTTATTTCGCTCCATTTGTTCTCGGCCCTTATTAGCATTGCTTTGTCTGATTGATTTTATTCCTTTTTTTGTTATTAAGGAAATTGTTTTCTCTTGTTTAGTTATTACGCTTCTGTAATTTTAAACTACATCATTCATATAGCTTTTAGATTATTGAATGGTAGATAACAATTATGAACAATAATATTGATATTATCTATTTAATTTGATTTTAATTTTGGAACTCGATATCAGTTATGCTTCTCCATTGTTGTCTACGTTTACTTTATTGATTTTTTTATTTGTTATTGTATTAGACATGCTATCGAATACGTTTCGTCAAGCTATGTTAACATTTACTAGGAATGTGCGATTGTAAATTGCGTTAAAATAAAAACAAATATACAATATGTTAGTAAACATTTAAATATTAGAGTATATAAAATTAAAAATTACAATTTGGTCATTATCTGCTTGTCTTACATCTGTTTCACTCATTTATATGTAATGAGTGAATCATAATCCCCCCATATGGCTTTCAAGGTGGAGTTTATATTAACATTCATCCATTTAAACTGCTATTCATTGATAAAAATAAAAATTGCAAAATAATATTAAAAATCAGCGCGTGTCGGCATTTGCCGGTGCTTATCGCCGCTGATCGGCTTTCGGCTTTCTTTCTGTATACGGCCTTACATTTTGGTCATTATCATTTATCTGCTTGTCTTACATCTGTTTCACTAATTCCTTTGTAATGAGTGAATCATAATCCCCCCTATGGCTTTCAAGGTGAAGTTTCTAATAACATTCATCCATTTAAACTGCTATTCATTGATAAAAATAAAAAATGCAATAGCTGCACCGTCTGAATCAGATGAGGCAGTAAAAATTGCTTCGTTGAAGCGGACTGTGTGAATTTCTCAACGTCAAGAAAACCCGACGTAAGCACAAAAGGTGGCACTCTTATAAAATACTATCATTTAATTGCCTCCCGTTCGATGACAATAAATCACAACGAAGAGGTACCGATTGAAATTTATAAGGATTCAAACAGACGCCGAGAGTTCTGAATAAAATATCTCGAGTTTGACTTGCTTTCGCCCTGATACGAATTCGCTGGGAAGCCTTATTTTTAATGAGCACGTAATGATGAAAAATATGGCAGTCCACCCAGCTCCCTATATTAATCGTCGCAATTTTTCCGGTAGTCTACTTTTTCCCGTCTGTGCTCCTACTCCCTTTGTTTTATTGGTCGGGGTCAACGAAGTTTATTGTGTCCCGAATGGCTGTATTACTTTGATGTTATATGTTTTCGTTTGGAACATTCAAAGGAAGATTGTTTAATAGTAATTTGTAAATTTCTAAGCAAAAATTGGAGTAAATAGACTTTTTAGGATTTCATAGGCTAAAAGGATAAAAGGGACAGTTTTGAAGACTATTATTAACTAACTCCTGCAAATATTGTGGATATCGGTAAAACAATAGAAATTTTGATTTGTCTCGTTGATTTACAAATTCAGAGTATATAATTATAATTTGGAGGACAATATTTGAATCATATAAGTAATGGTTGATCATTCTTCAAATTTTCTTTCAATGTTAGAAATTTACTTCCTAATAATTCATAAAACATAGTCGAGGTGTTCTCTATGGATGGAACATGGAGATATGCCAATTTATATAAATAACAAGTTGCCATAAAAAATAAGTCATCACATTTTAGGGTAGATAACTCTATGCATAAATTGCTAATACGAACCTTATTTTAATCCGAGCCTGAGTATTAAGCATGTATGAGTACATGTTTCATATATTAACCTGCTGTATTTTGCTACGGCTTACATTTTGGGTTAGTATGTATTTAAAAATTAAATCTCTGACCTCAATCATAATAATAAAAGGGATGAAAAATAACAAACCCATTAGACAATGATGAAACTTCAGACACTGAAATAGTTTTAAAGCGAACTCTTACTAAAATTACCGCCTCGATTGCTTTCAAGATAAATTATTCTAGACTTAGGTCAACTGAAACGAAGAATTAAAGTTGGAACTGAAAATGCCTTGGGCATATTTCTCATCATTCTCATCTCTTGTGAAGTGCATTATCATAAAAGTTTAATGCCATGCCATGATAAATAACTATCAATACTAATCTTATACACATCAACACTAATCAGCAAGTAAGAGTTTAAATCTGTTTAAAAAAAACAGACATGTGCTGTTCACATGCGATAGAAGTGAAACCTACAAAAATGTGAAAACGTATAAGTCCTCCAGCCTTTATTGTTACCAGCTATTTTTATTTTATTTCTTTTGTTATGTTTTATTTTTCTTAGGTTATTACGAAATATTTATTTCTTAAAAATTACTGTGAAAAAATTACAAACATTGGAAAGGTAAGGATTGTTGATAAAAACCAAGCCTGTATTAATAAACCTATTCAGGTATTGTAGAAAATTGGGCAAAATTAAATATTCTATACTACATTTATTTAGAAAAATAAATAATAGCTTAATAAAAGAAAAAATATCCGAGTTCAGGATCGAACCACCGATCATTTGGTGTCGACCCCAAGACTGTTACCGTTCGGCTATCTGTCTCTTGCAATGAGTTACATAATTACGGATACTTCATGTCAAATACTGTTAAATTTTCGTTTCATTCAGTTTCAAAACACAACGGTGCTAAAGAAGTTTTCGCTTCAGAAAGCGTTGTGAACTTGCATTGATAATTGTAATGACGTGATTTATTTTAGTATTCCGTCAATTATGTTTACTTTTAATATTAGTGTTGCTTACCAGTAATAGAAAATTATTGATTCAACAAAAAAATCTAAGAATGCAGGTTATACTGGCATTTTTCGCCTGAGCCTGTAGTGTCACCGTCACCACGTTTTAATATGTATGGGCTCTCTCTAATATCTTAATCACCATTGCTAACAAAAACTTAAAGGTATCTTTAACCTCTTTCGTCTTGTCTTAATGCCGTTTCCTTTGTAAAAATGAAAAGATTGATTCCAATATTTGAATTCTGCACACAGAAGCGGCACCTTACAAATGGTCCACATCTATTAACACTCAGCTCGTGGCCGTTATAAATGTTGGCCGACCAAAAAGGTGTCGTCTGAGCCGCACCGCGTCTGCAACTAGCTGATAAATCTACCTCGCGCAAAGCCCCGCTCAATTTGTATTAATATTTATTATGTATAAGTGCACCGTGACTGATGATAAAATTTGAGGCGGTCCTCATAAAACTCAAGGAGTTAGTACATTTAGGATTATACGGCCTTTTCAAAATAAACAGGTGCGTGTAAAAATTTTAGATAAAGCTGATGAAAAAGGCTTTTATTTTACTACCTTTATAGTAATGTTCACTTGAATAAGTATATTTCGTTACTATCTTCACGCTGAACTTTGGGAGACTGTGTGAAGGTCTGGAAAGAATTTTCCAAAACCATTCTTCCAATTGTCAAATGCGAAAGGGAAAATACGTTTATATGTTCGTTACGCTCTCACGCCTCAAGCACTAGACAAATTTTAAAGTATTTTAGTTAGCAGATAAGTGAGATCTTAGTAAACGACATACACTTTGCTAAGACTTATCGGGTGTAAGATGTGTTACTTTCTATAAAGGTTGCACATTGCACGTCTGACACAATCTGCAACATCAATTACTTGCATATGGTGTGTCAAAGGCGAAAATGCAAAGTGCAGAACTGCCTGCACCGCCAAGTACGCCGTAGCCTGTTAATTGCATTCGCCAGACTGGCCCAAATAATTGGCATGTTCTTGAGGTCAATCCATCTCTTTGGTGTTCGAAAATTAGTTTGTAAGTTAATTAGAAGTAGACGATGTTTCTCTGTGAGCTTTCTTAATCACAAAATATTTGAAAAGTTTTGTCTTGTCATTTTGTTATCAGCGTATCGTTTTCGGTTAATTTAGTAAATTTGCCTATATTAAATAGGTTATTTTTATTATAATGATTACAACCTAAACAGTATTTTGGCAGTTCTATTAAGTACATAAGTATATACATTAATGTCCATTATTGTTGAAAACCTAAAAGCTCGGGAGTAATTTTAAAATGCAGTAATGAGATGCTTTTAACTGAAAAAGTTTTTGTTACTTATCATGTCTACTTTAATTTACTAAAGTAGTGTATCATTTAAACGTAAATAACTGCCGTACTTAGACTTAGTTAATTAAATTTGTTTCTTCATTATGTCACAAATTACCTAGTTCTATTTTATCGAAAAGGAAGTTAAAATTAATTCACATTTGTGAGTCCGTAGGCAACTTCCCCGTTCAAGTCTTAGGTAAATGGTTTTAAATAATGCAAATACTTTATTTAGATTTAAATATCTAGCAGTTAAGCAGTAAATAGGACAAAAATTTCACAGGCGGGATCATGATAAGCCGTTGGGGAGTGCAGTTCCATCCTCGCAGAGACCAGAGCGCTGCCATTTGTGGCGGGTGCCACGGATACACATACCTGATGATCGCGATCTGGATTCTTGCGCGTAACCATCCCATTATTGAGGCGAGGAGCCGGCTCCAGCGGCTTTAATTGTTTTAAATTAATAATAATCAAACAAAATTTATCACACACAATTTATTGAGTAAATCAACAGCTTAAAAAATATAAATCAACAGTGGAAAAGCCAAATCACTAAAACGCCACTTTAGTAACTTTACAGAAACGAGGATGAATGTTTTTATTTTCACAAAAAAAATATGACTCAATGTAATGTAAATGAGAAGTGTCGCCATAATAATAAAAACATATTCATTAAAAAATATTTTCTAAATATCCTCCTATTAAAAAGTTATATAGTGCCTTTACGAATTAGATGTCGCTTAAGCAAAAATTGCACGGCCCGCCATAATTTTTTTGTTAAGCAAACATCAAATTATTCGCCATATAGCAGGGCGTGAGTACCATTGCTTCAAAAAGCACCAAAATTTATGACGCTTCAGCGTCATGAACAATAAAAATCTTCAATTAATTGATTTGATTAAGCGCCAGAAAAGTACTCAAACCTTCACGAAATATAAACAGATCAACCCAGAAAAAAACTGATTAAAATGATATATATATAACTAATATTCGACCAAAGTGGCGAATAAGAGATTTTGTCTTTCCACTGTCGATATGCAAAACAACATTAAACAAATTGGTGATATCATCAAAAACATGTAAAAATAACAATGGAATACAGAGAATTTTCAAACGTAATGAGCATTCAAATTTGAGATGATTTAATACATAGGCTACATATCTTCTTATACATAAAGGATTGCATGATTAGGTCAATGTTCCAGATAACAATTATATAGTATAACCAAACAATACGCGAATTCTTTTAGCGGAATTTTAAAACAACGATCACCAAGTTAAAAAAAAATCTAAAATACATAGAATTGCATTTACAAAACTTTTCTTTAAATTTCTTTATGCCTGATAATATTACTTATACGAAAGCCCACCAATTAAAGCTGCTTCTGAGCCACCTATATTGCGACACCCGACAAATTGGAAGCGTGTATACATGCGTTGTGCAAATTGAGAACGCTGCTGTAACCATCGCGCTTAAGCTTTGTTAGCGCGACCTCAACCAAACGTATCTTATTGCATTGCCAAAAAGGTTGTTCGTGAACTTCCTGTGATATATATGATACGAGGTTGACAGTACGACGATCCGTCTTACCGCGCGCCGCCAACTCACTAATCAACATACGACAGTGTAACCGCAAAGTAAGAGGAATGGTGAATCGTAAATTAAAGGAACTGTATAACAGGAGCGTTGTAAAATATACACTTACCGGCTACTGTTTCATCGTCTGTAGAAAGAGTAGATACAGAAATATCTTTTGGTATTTGCAAATATACAAAAAGTAATTTTCTGGCCAAGATAAGGTTGTTGGCCACTAGGTAAATTGGTAATACAAATAATGACATTATTTGATAATATAATTAATAATATGTGGATCAAAACAATAGATACTATAGTGAACCTTTATGAAAAACAATAACAATTACATACATTTTACTCATATTACTCATGAATCATTATCTTTCATCAGAACATTTCAGAAAGTGAAATAAATGTCATGATTTAACAATAGTATAATTAAGAGACAAATGGAAAATCTAAAAATAAATTTCCCATGATAAATTTTAAATATAAATAATGGCTAAAGCTAGTTTAGATGTATAAAAACAAGATAACACAATCGTTTCATGAAACGCAACGCATTTTGTGCCATAAGCGATATATATCCTACGAAATATGTTAGTTGAGAACACAAGATTCATATGTTGGTATCATGTACTTGATATTGATGAAAGCGTCTGGTCCTCCATAGCGTTCCAGGATTTGAAGAGTGTCTTCAATGAGATCCGCCACGTTCTCATCTCTAGTGGTCGTGTGATCTATTCCTGAACCCAAATTACCTGTGCCGAATAAACAACAAGTTAACAGTATTATCAAATTTATTATAAATGTTGAAAAGATTATTTTGCATGAATTGGTAAAACTGACTAAGACAACACTTTCCACTTTACAGAAGACTACAGCTGAGTAATCATTTATGAAATGTTGTTTTTTTGTGCTGAGCTGGTTACCAAAGATTTTAAAGATCAAGTAATGCCTCACGCAAGAGATAGTCACTCGCATCATAAGCGTCTTTTGCCGCGTCCGTAACTGTAAACCCACTATCACACAATTAGATATTACTACGGAGAAATAAGCTGCAGTATGTCAAATCAACTAAGAGCAGAAGGAAACTCCAGTTCTGTTATTTGATTAAACTTTTATGGAACTCTCTAAAGCGCATCAATCCAGAGGCCTATCTTGACTTAAGTGCCGTCAAGGGTGACGCATGGCGTACATCGGATGCATGTAATTAATCTACCGCTGACAAGTCTATTACGTCGAAAACAATATCTCCTGAGCCGGCGGTGTCAATTATTTTGCGCATGATGGATGCGTACCAATCAACGAGACCGAACTGCGCTCCTGTTACGCGTCGTCAGCGCTAAACTTTACACAACACTTTAGTGGCACTTTCAGATTCTCCTATAAATTTAGTGAAAGTGACTTTGGGACGACTTTCACTCCGTATTCCGATCGGGTTCTTGGTTTTTTGAACAGTGCTTATTTGAAATCTTTTATAACGAGGTCTGTTGAAATTCTTATAAGTAAACATTTAAGTAGGTAACACTGACAGACTTTGCAGTCTTGGGACTTTCAGTACACTTGGGATTCTCCTAGTTTTTTTTTTTATTTAAATATTTTTCAATGACTTGTGACGATATAAAAAATGTTGATTAAGACACAATTAGTGAAAACCATCAATAACATTCAACTCCAAATAAGATCATTCATGATAAGAATAAGTTTACACCGATGCGTATTTATGGTAATGTTTTATTGAACTCAAGATGTAAACGTTGATATTTCAAGATAAAAATTGACCCTTACGTTAGTGCAATTCTTATTTCGCTAAACAAACACGCTCCAGATAATTCTCATCGGTCGCCATAAACTACGAATCTAAGCATCGACACTGAAAAGACCTCAAGACACATTGTTTCCAACATAATAGAATGTCGGGCTTCACAGCAGATCAATTACGTGTGACGTCCCGCGTCGCGCCGTGTTGTGCGACAACAGCGCGTCACGGCGGCATTGTTGCGCGGATTCTGATCGTTCCAACCCACAGAGCTTCTCTCCTAGAGACCGCATACAAGGGCACTCGCTTGCGCTAAGCCCAGCTAGTAGTAAAACTCATGCAAATCTCATATTGGTATTGTTTTTCAATTAGACGACTCTGTATATAATAACGGGAGAAACGCCCATGCTGAGTTTCTTGCCGGTTCTCCTCAAAACAAGGTCTCTCGCTATAGATTTGCGAACCGATGGCGTAGCTTTTGACATTCATAAGTGCTTGTAACAGTCTAGCCTGAAAAGGTATTGATTATTTTTTTTGCGTGAGATACGCCTTCAGTCGCAGACCAACGGAGATTTTCTACTGATGCGTCCAATCAAAACGCGGCTTAGCGCTCCGCACGCGAACAATATTGCTGATTTTCATTTAAAACAAAAATTGAGTAATGCGGACTCTAAGGTGCTCTGTGTTCCTACCTTTCTGTGTCGCGTACTTGGCACTGGCGAATATTTGTCTTGTTTAAGCAGAACACGAGTGGCTACAATCGAACTGCGATCTTGAAATGTAATAAGGCCTATAGACAACGACTTAGTATGTTGTGGTGATGGTGATACTGTTGACTATTGTCAATATGTGAATACGATATGCGAGGATAACATAAATTAGATACCTGTCTTGGGTGTAGTGGAAAATTTTGGTTTAAAAATAACACACTCGCTTTAGGATAAAAAAGATAAGTGCTTCAGAAATCACGGGGATGTTTTATACTTAATTAATTATTTACTACTTGTAAGTGACTTAGATATAGTTATAAATTGTTTTACTTCATCATTATACTAGGCCATTCGCATCCTGTTTAAATTATCCAAAATGTGGAAGGCTAACAATGTTTCAGTAAAGTTATTTAGGAGTGACTTCATTAGGTTCTGTGTAAACATTCCTCGCAGATGCGACTGTCGCACCCGACCCTAATGCCTCCGCCCTGGTCGTGAATAGTTGTGGCCGACGATTCGGTGTCGTTTTTCTTAATGTTGCCGAAAGCTAATGTTATGAGAATAGCGCCATTACGCTGTGCTTTGTTATCGCCGAGGATAGTGTTGTATTCTGAATTCGGCATCAGGCTTGGGGCGAAATCTGTTTATATTTAAATTTTAAACACATGCACTAACAGTTTCCGCAAACTTCAAAATGTATACAACAAGAACAATATGCAATAATATGAATTTAAGTATTATACAGGTCCAGGACATAACTTGTTTTGAAATCTTAATCGAGATTTGGTTGCTTATTTTTTATTCCATCTTATAACGACCGTTAGAGGAAGACGATAATTAAATGCACTTACGTGTCTAAGTAAAGTTTAGTATCTTTATATTACAAGAATTTATTTTTATTTATTTATTTTGGCAACATACAGTCATGTACATCAACGTTTACATCATCTTAAAGTAATACATAGGTTTTAGACCTTGAGTGCCTACAATTACATTGTTATGAAATTTTATGGAAGTCAGGTTAGAAGCAATACAGTGTGCTATATCATCTTTATCAGGTTCTGTATATCAGTTATTACAATATTTCAAAGACTAATTTTATGCAGTATTTAAAAATAAAACAAAAAACTTGAATCAAGTAACAAATCAATTAGCAGAATCAGAAAAAAAAACAAAACAAAAAGCAGTAACAATTTACAGAAAACTACAAACAGGTTGATCATGCGAAACTGTTAAATGAGCTTTATGTTGCTATCAGATAAGATACACGGTTGATGCGTTAAGGTTTTTAACCCTTGTGCTGCTAAACTCACGTACAAACAGTAAAATAAAAACGCTAAACAGTAAAATAAAAATAATATGTTTTATAATTTTGATAAAAAATGTTCAATTATGTGAGACTTAACTTTCATGAGGTTTGGACAAAAGATATCTATGTGAGCAACTTGTTTATATGCAGTCAAACAACGTTGGAAAAAGGCATTTGAAGTATATTTAGTACTTGATCTGGGAACAAAGAAACAGATCATTGGGCCTGCGAACACTTTTCAATGGGATCTTAAGTTTTATTTCTTCAAGCAGGTTAGGGAAATCAATAATACTATGTATCAACTTATATAAGAATACAAGCTCAAATTGTAACCGTCGGGAAGATAAGGTCAATAATTTGTGTTTTTTAAGGGAATCGTTGTAAGATGAATAAAGAGATCCTGTTCTGTACCCCAAAGCTTTCAAAAAATTTTTTTGTATGTTTTCTAGTCTATTTATGTGACATGAGTAATAGGGGCACCAGACTATAGAACAAAAATCCAGGATTGAACGCACCAGGGAGAAATAGAGAGTTTTATATGTAGCTTCCATTTTAAATGGTTTACAGACTCTAAGCAGAAATCCGAGATGCTTATAAGATTTCTGTATAATATGATCATAATGTTGTATAAAGGAAAGTTTGTTATCTAATAGTACACCTAGATCTCGAATTTCACTAACCCTGGGTAAGGTGTTATTGTTTAGTTTGTATGTAAAAGTGATCGGCTTACGTTTTCGAGTAAAACTTAAAATAAGGCATTTATCTAGATTCAAAAATAGCTGATTGTATAAACAATAATTAGATAAATTCTTAATATCTTGTTGTAGTGCAACGCAATCGTTTTCGTTCCTTATAACTTTATAAATTTTTGCATCATCTGCATATAAAAGAAGCTTACTATTGTTTAGACAGGTATATATATGTATACAGGTTTGGACAGATCAATGTGATAGCGACCGTTAGATTCTTAAGCCTATCAATCAGACTGCTTTTGAAACTATTGTAATTGATGAGCTCAAATATGTCACTTTCATTTCCGGATAACGGGGGATGATAACTAACTCAGTTTTCTTCATCTATTAGTTAGATTATCAAAAAGAATTGGGCAATTATTTTTATATTACTCACACAATCAAATACGTTACATAGATATATTGATTTAACATGTCGTCACGTATTGGTACAATTTTTACTTAGAAGTGACGTCATGAACTCACGCTTTCCCAAACTTTGACGAGCTTTATAGGTATCTTTGTTATTATCAAAGATTGGCAAAAAAAGATAAGTGCCCATTATTTTTTAATAATGTAACTGACGAACTAAATTTGATTTCATTTACTTTACCCCGTCATCATCCCTAAAGTGGTAGTTTCACTTCCCCCGTCACCATCCCTAAAGTGGTAGTTTCACTTCCCCGTCATTATCCTTAAAGTGGTAGTTTAACTTCCCCCGTCATCATCCCTAAATTGGTAATTTCACTTCCCCGTCATCATCCCTAAAGTGGTAGTTAAACTTCCCCGTCATCATCCCTAAAGTGGTAGTTAAACTTCCCCGTCATCATCCCTAAAGTGATAATTTCACTTCCCTGGTCATCATCCCTAAAGTGATAGTTTGTTTCACTTCGACTTTATCATATAGTGTATTTATGTATTTCTTTCTGGAACAGTACTACAGTCACAATACTAGGAACAGTGAAAGTACATAAGCTTACTTACGATTTCTGGACTTGAACAGGTTGAGGGTCGGTAATATCTGTCTGTAATACGGCACCAGAGCTTCCCCCACCTTGTCGGAGCCGGTCACAATCATTTGAATGCACTTGAGCGCGTGGCAGATCACGGCAGGACGTTTAGTTGCCAACGCATCTGTTGGCAATTGACAAAAAGAAACGATCATTCAGGAATACTATAGACGGACAGAACGTTTTATGTTATCCGTCATTTTCGATTCTTACAATTGACCGGGATAGAAAGTATACTATTTCTCAATCCGGGTAATATACTTTAGGCGTGTTTGCCAAATTTCAGCAAAACCCGTTCAGTCGTTTATGCATGATTGAGTAACAAACGTAACAAAACACATTTGTAAAAACTTGTAATAAACTACGGCTATAATTTTAAACTTTTAAAGATTTATTGCAAAATGTTTAGACGCAGTTGAAACCCCTTTTTAGGCAATTTTTGTATGACATTTTTTCTTTAACTCGTGTTGAACGCATGCCTCACTTTTTTGTAGTAATCAGGTTATTTTTTTTTAAGTTCTTGCACAACCATTTCAAAACGTCACAAACCGTTTCAAGTCACACTCATCAAAACGTCATCGAAATAAATCGGCACTAAACGAAGATTCCATCAAGGAGGCATCTCTCGCGATGGACCGTGAAGAATTCAAATTATTGTGAACTGAAAAAGGAGATCCTCTCGAGCGTAATCTAATACAGATGTTGTTTTAAGCAATAATCCCGGGATTACGGGGAATTTCATTATTTTTGACGTGTACCTACTACCTAGCTACCTATCAACAGGGGGCAGATCCAATCTGAATGGCAGAGATCGAGTTGCGAGGCATTTGATTGTGAGCATATCCGGTGACGGTAGCCCCGATAAATCAACAAGCTTGATATCGACTCGTCTCCGTGTAATTTGTATTGAACTTAGATTTGGTGATTGCTAAGATTGTTGTTGTCTCCGAAGGCAGGCGTCGTTATTTACATTATGTCTGGTGCACTGATTGAAGTGGCAATGTTTTCTTAACGCTTTTTATTATTTATGCTACTCTACTTTAAGTAGATTGGTGTATTGGCGAAAGAGCGAATACTCTTCTTACAGATCATCATCATCATCATCAGCCTATTAATATCCCCACTGCTGGGGCACAGGCCTACCTTATGGATGGAATAGGGAGATTGGGCCATGACCCACCACGCGGACCCTGTGCGAATTGATTAACGTGCTTTCCGAAGCACGGAGGATCTCGAGATAGTAAACCCTTACGCCCCACTGCATAAGGCTCATTTTAGAATTAGCCGCAGTACTCGACCCCCAGCGCGATCCGCGGTGCTCTGGCACATTCGATCTCTAGCACTTTCGTAATTCCGTTTCGACGGCGTTTGTGACAAGTCTATAGGCTATAACGGCAGCTTAACCATCCATTTAAAAAAAAAGTATAAAAAAATACTTACTCTTGATAGGTATTATCAGCTGGGGCACGACAGGCAATATTTTGTAAGATCCTTTCGTCACCAAATCGTTGATACCCTGCTCAACAATGAAGCTGAACGGATACGTGCCCTCCGCTAAACCGTCGAAGAACATCGGCAGGTAATGGTGGAAGTCCAACTTTTCAATCGGAACCTGAAAGGAAACCGTATAATATAATACTAAACTTTACCTCAAAATTTCATTCACACGGGCTTTGTCATCAAAAATTCTTAAGTAACCTTTGAAAAAAGTTTTGGGTAAAGTTAGGTTAAGAATGTCACTAGAGAAATGCATAATTGCAGATGAGTCACTAAACTCGATTTTTTAAATTGAAAGCGTGGCAATTGTACTCTACATATGGCTCGGATAGTAAGCGGCCACTATAGCCTATAGACGCTACATCACCAGCCTATTAATGTCCCCGCTGCTGGGGCACAGGCCTTTCTTGTTGTTGAATTGGGCCATGACCCACCACGCGGGCCGAATGCGGATTGGTGGATTCTAACGACTGCAGATGCAGCCAGGATCAACGGCTTAACGTGCCTTCCGAAGAAACGGTAAAGTAAATTTTTGGTCACCCATCCAATGACTGACCATTGCGAAAGTTGCTTGACTTTAATGATCGCGGCCGAACGCGTAAACCACCTGCGCCATCGAGGTCCTCTGGACTGTTTGGAGTCTACTTTCACAGAATATCAGTTAGAGTTTGAAAATGTTATCGAGCCGTCAGAAAGACAGCGATGGTAAAACTATCTGCACATATCTGTATCTATACTCCACAAATTTACTCACAATCATCATCAGCTTATTAATGTCCCCACTGCTGAGGCACAGGCCTTCCCTTTGACCCACCACGCGGGCCCAGCGCAGATTGACGGGTGCTAACGACTGAGAGACGGAGACACTAAGACATACCACCACATAAAAAATCTTTAGTCACCCGTCCTGTGGCCAACCATCAAAAGTTCCTCAACTTGCTTAATCGCAGACCATCATGCCACTCCTTAGTACTAATCATCATCAGCCTGTTAATGTCCCCACTGCCCGGGCACAGGCCTTCTCATGGAAGTAATGAGGAGCCTGGGCCGTGACCCACCACGCGGGCCCAGTATTGGTGGGTGCCAACGACTGATACTGCAGATGTAGCCGGGACCAAGGACTTAACGTGCCTTCCGAAGCACGGAGGAGCTCGAGATAGTAAATTTTTGGTCACCCATCCAATGACCGACCACTGCGAAAGTTACTTAACTTCAACGATCGCAGCCGAACGCGCTAACCACTTGCGTCATCGAGCTCCTCTCGCAATAGTTTGCAATAATAACTAAAACTCCTACTTTAAACAACACTTTTATCAACCAATCTCTCTATAAACTCAAAATCAATCTATATGAATTATTTATAGTGCAATTCGTGTTATTTTCTAAAAGTATTACTTAAATAAAGGAAATTCTTATATCGTTTCGGCATACCGTACAGTATCGTGTTTCAATAAAGTCTCTTTGTATAATTCTTTACACAAAACAAAAATGTGCCCAATAATATTTTGCGGGAGATATTTATCTAACGATAAAGTATAAATATTGGTTTATAAGGTCAAGATATTTTGTGTGCCTTTGTCTATTCAATCGCAAGGAACGTTATAATATAGACAACCCTGTGATGGGTTTGGGAATTTCAATCAACTTTAGTTTAACCACTACTCATATATTGCCAAATATCTGACTTTATTGTTCCTTAACTAAATAAGGATATGCTTTTCATATCATACCATAATATTATTCTTCAAATATTCATTCTAATTTTGTAACTGTAGGCTAATATATTATTTACTTATTTTCTTTAAAAATACAGACATACAAAGCAACTTATGTCGCCAAACTGAAAATTCAGTTTGTTGGCGAATAATACGCTCTTTCCACTTCTTTACATATATAGACTAGCGGCCCGCCCTCGCTTCGCTTCGGTGTATAGCTGAAGTGTAGACTACAGTTTTTGTTCTCAGGCTTGTATTATGCACAATGACATTCATCTATGATTCTTCTTATGCCTGCATGCAAAGTCTCAGCCCGATCGGTTTGAAATTGACAAAGTTTCATACAAACTTTCATTCCCTATTTTATCCCCTTGGGGTAGAATTGATCAAATCCTTTCTTAACGGATGCCTACGTCATAACATATACCTGCATGCCAAATTTCAGCCCGATCCGTCCAGTGGTTTGGGCTGTGCGTTGATAGATCACTATGTCAATCACCTTTGAGTTTTATATATATATATAGATTAGATTATCGGATATAGATATTAGATTATCGGATATAGATATTAGATTATCGGAAATATATAGAATTATATCTGTACTAGATTAATCTTTGGCAAATTAAAATAACTTACATAGAAAATACAAAAACAAAGGTTTGATAGTTTCCTACATTCATTCATTGTCTTTTTGGGGATTAAAGACAATAACTCTTGATTTCGCAACTATAGAATCTACACATATTGGACATGAAGTCCTAAAAGCGGCTACCTCAGTCAACAATGCCAGAAACTCTTTAACACGTAAACACTGTTTTTTATGTTATAAGTATGGCAAACAAGCGTATGGTCCACCACCCCACGACAACGGCTAACTAGAGTCGAGGTCCGAGTCTCAGAGGCGCCCTCTAGTTAAGAAGACTCCCTCATGTTCAAGCGGTCTAGAGGCTCCAGACGGAGAGGAGACTCCCCGTGTGGTGATGCCATCTACCTGGTTTACCTCTGGAGGCACTCGCCAATTCTCGGCTTGAGGTTCCCTTAAGATCTCGCCGTCCCCAAACCCGGTGACGCTGTAAAGGTCATCTGCGACCACACAGACCAGACCAGCATACACACTAAAAAAAAAGTATGGTCCACCTGATGGTGAGAAGCCACCATAGGCTATAGAGGCTTGCGATACCACGGATATCATTCGAGCCGCTGCCTATCTTGACTTCATTCCCTACCTCGTCAAACCCTTAAACCTTACTGACCAAAAGAAACGCAATGTTATTTTACTGTCTTCTGTAAGGTAGAGGATACATTGCCAGCCGGGCGTTTACTCTCGTTATCTACTCTGAACACATTCTTGAGCCCGTGGAGTTCTTGACACCTCACTAACTGAAGAGATACTTTGTAAGACACTTTGGAGCACCTTAAAATGAAGAAAGACGAAAAACATACCTTCCAGCCTAGTTTTTTCCCGCAGTTAGTGAATTCTATAGAAACGGGGAATTCCCCTCTTTGGTAACATTTTCTGAACATGGTCGGTCTCGGAGGTTGTGGGTCGTAAACACCACATTTCGGTGGAGGCTTCACTTTTACATTCTTTTGTAGTGCTGTGAACAAAAAACGTTTTACAGAAAACCAAACATAATAGACATAACATAATAAGGTTCGGCAAAGTTTGGTAGAAATTAACATCTTCATCCGCCTATTACAGATATCAGGACATAAATCATGAGACCACCACGCGAGGGCTGGTGTAGATAAGTCAGTGCTGACGACTGCAGACTATAAGTATCTCACAAACAGATGCAGCTGGTGCGGGGTGTTAGCCGGTTGTATTCGCTTGAAATGTAAGCGAGTGGTCAAGTCATCATCATCAGCCTATTAATGGCCTTACTGCTGGGGCACAGGCCTTCCCTATGTATAGAATCTCCCTAGGTTGGGCCACCCACCACGCGGGCCCAATGCGGATCGGCGGGTGTTAACAACTGCAGATACAGCCAGGACCAACGGCTAAATGTGCTTGCCGAAGCACGTAGGACCTCGAGATAGATTTTCGGTCACCCATCCAATGGCCGACCACTGCGAAAGTTGCTTAACTTTAACGATCGCAGCACTAGCTACCTTCGCCATCAAGCTTCTCAGTTTGTGTGTGAGACAGAGACAGAGTCGGCCTGCGACCGCGGCGAACCCTTAAGTCACTTGTGTTGAACACTCGCTTAAATTGCAAGCGAATACAACTGACCGCGCCACACTGGCCGCGGTTGCAAACAGCGTCTGTCTGTGAGACGATTCAAATCTTTCTGTGAGACAATAACTTTTAAGTCTGTCAAAGTGACGTGTTGTCTTATTCTATCGCTATTGTAAAAAACAGAGAAAGCAACAACTTCCTTTTAATAAAAAAAGTAGATCAAGTAGGATTAAAAGTAAATTACCTTGAATAGTGAAAGCAGGCACAATCCTAGGCTTCTTCGTCTTATGCCCATGAGGATAATTCGGGCTAGGCTTCTTCAAGGACTGCCTGAAATCCCTCCCGCAGACATCCGGCGAACAAGGAGGTAACAACACCATTCCGCTTACACAGTATCACAATAACATGTTACAACAAATAATCCAATAATGTATATCTGAATTGTTGATAGAAGTAATAAAATAAGAGAGTAAATTTGCTCACGGCGCGGCTCGGTTGTGATTGTTTATTTTGGAACATGATCGTTGCGTGGCAACCTCCTATCGATTGCTCGCCGGCAGCGCCGCCTAGTGGCTCCCGGCCGAATTAGGGCGGGTGTACATTTGCGCTATTGATGCGTTTTTTTAAACGGTGGCCTTTCAAATACTAAACATTTTTTTTAGAGTAAACTGCATCTATAATAAATGGGTAAGCGATTTGCGATTTATAAGCAAATAAATTAATGCTAGGCTTTGAATGTCATATAAAGTTTCCTTTACGAAATTAGTAAGATTTGTGCTCATACTGAACACATCATTTTGTTTTTACTCAGTAAGTTGGATTGAAATTAATGCTATATATAAAACAAAAAAACCGTAAAATAACAATATTAAAATATTCTACAATTACAAAGATAATACTATATATTACATGTTATAGTTACAAATACTGTTGATGCTTACTACAAAGTGACTAAATGATAAAATACCTAAAAATATTGTGTTTCGTTGGAAATTCCTTAATCGCTTTTTGTGTCCTTACCCTAACACCAAGTCTAAATCACGGATTAATAGAGTAGCAGGGCGATGTTTCTTTTTTTAATAACAACTTAATTACAAGTGTGTCACAATAACTTTTAAATTCCCATCGACAGAAATTTCTCTTTATGTCGCCTGGAGAAAAAAATCTTTGACAACTTTTTTGTGGGTATTCAAGAACTTTACGGGTTTCATTTATAAAAGGCCACCTAGATTGAGCATTCACTGTTGTATTTTGTTAGCGTGTTCCTTATTCATTTTCCCTTTTTTATATTATCGCGAGAAAATCATAATCGGTACGAGTTTGAAATTTCACCCTTAACATGGTAAATTGAGCTTTATCCTTGTAACTTCAAGGTCGTGGAAACGTTTTGTGAAGTGAATCAGTACAAATTTAAACAATGAACATTAAATTCTGAGGCGAAGTTTTTGCCGATCAATGAGTTTATTTATTCCGTTTTATAACACAACAAATCTTGATTATGTTTTTGTTTAACAAGAATCATTAATGGGTGGAAAAGTCCCAATATCCATTTTTTTATTTAAATTTAAAAAAATAATGGTCTGGTGATTTCGGAAAAATACTTATATTTAATATTATCCTACTTATTTACTTACTCCACTTTCCAAAAACTACTGAACCGATTTGAATAAAAATTGGCAATCATATGATTTATTACCTGGATTAAGACATAGGATACTTTTTATCCAGGAAAAATTTAAGGTTCCTGTGGGATTCCCAAAAAACTTAAATTAGTGTGGACAAAGTCGCGGACAACAATGTCCTTTTTAAACTAAAGGTAATATTGACTTTAATGCACGTGTAAATTTAACCCTATTTTTCTATACCAAAATATAGGTATTCCAAACTAACAGAATAAATGCTATTTTAGTATGTAGATAAAGAACTTTAGAGAAGGATTTGAGCCACTTACTTTTTCTTCAATTTTATTAAATCTTGAAGAGGCTCTATTTGTTAAAGACCAAATAATATTGTATAAATCACTAGTAGCCCGCCCTCGCTTTACTTCGGTGTCATCATCATCATCATCAACAGCCTATTAATGTCCCCACTTCTGGGGCACAGGCCCTCCCTATGGATGGATTCCACGCGGGTCTAGTGCGGGTTGGTGGGTGCTAACGACTGCAGATGCAGCCAGGACCAACGGCTTAACGTACCTTCCGAAGCACGAAAGAGCTCGAGATAGTAAATTTTTGGTCACCCATCCAATGACCGACCACTGCGAAAGTTGCTCAACTTTAACGACCGCAGCCGAACGTGCTAACCACTGGCGCCATCGAGCCTCCTCACTTTATTTACTTCGGTGTAGAGCTGTAGTATAGGTAGACTATAGTTTTTGTTCTCAGGCTTGTATTATACACAATAAATTTCTTTGTAGAATTATAAACCTTCAGTAAAAATTTATTCAACTGATAGTGAAAATTTTGTTGCATACCTACTTTAGGACCGTACCGAATGCATCATTTTTTTGGTTGAACGCGCAAATCACAAGAACTAATTTTCCGATTTGAAAAAATATTTTTTTATTAGATAGTGCATTTATTGAGCCAGGCTTATGGCTATATAACGGCACGCTCCGACTAGTAGGAGCGGATCATCAATGTAAAATGTTGCAACAACGGGTAAAAGAAGCTCACAAATTCAATTTGGGAGCTTCCATTACGTGCACTGCGTAAATGATTAAAGTTCACAAAAATCATGTATGGCAAAATTGTTCCCCTTTAAATGTTCTATAAAAAAGTCTGCAATAGCATATACTTATATTTTGTTTTTGGCTCACTTAACCAACTCCATCGTTGACGAACAAAAGTCATCTAATCAAAAACATCTAAGTCACCAAGTCATTTATGATTTGCAAGCTTATAAATTCATCGGGTTATAATACTTCATATTTCTCATGAATATAGCACGCAAAAAGTTTTAAACAGTCCGATTCAACAATCTACTGCTCATAAATTTTATTTAAAATCGCAAGTGTGTCGAAAGCCTACCGTTGACGCGACAGGATTTCGCGGCAAATTGAACAGGCGGTTTCTCATAGTAAATGGATTATAATAACAGATACTATGAGTATACTTCAAGCCTTATCAAAATCAGCGTTTTATTCAAAATCCAATTACATTATTATAATACGAGATAAGAGAAAAATATTAGCAACTAACCACAAACGGAAAAGACAATTGACGACCTCCGTGGCCGAGTGGTTTGTGCGCCGGGTTTCATGGTGTCGCCGACTCGATGTTAAATATGTATTTCTATATAAATATACTTATATTATGTACTGTATATGTATTCTTATTTGTTACCCTAGTATCCCATAACACAAGCCTTACAGTGCTTACTTTGGGGCTAGGCTAATTGGTGTGAGTGTTGGAAATATTTATTATTATTTATTTATTTAATTTTATTTTGGACTCCATCACATATAGGAGTTTACGGTAATGAAGTGGTAGATACACTGGCAAAGTTTGTAACTAACACTTCTGAAAATGTTCCTGTGAAAAACATACAGGTTCCTGATTCTGATTGTGTAGAAATTCTAAAAGATAAAGCAAAGAAGACATGGTTAGATCATTGGCATGAAACTTTACAAACAAAAGGTGTTTGGTATCATATTATTAATGATAAAATCAGAAAATTAAAAACGCCTTGGTTTGCTCCGAGAAGTTTTCTTCATCGTACATTTTACACTACAATATGTAGACTTATTCTCGGACATGGACGCTTTAACGATCATTTATTCAGAATGAACACGTGGTCTCCTCCCCATAATGCTCGTTCTGCAGCTTCTCAAATTAATCACTTCATTGTTTGTTCTTCGAATGTACTCATGTTGCTCTACAACGATTTCTCAGTAATAGTTTGCTTGAAATCTACAATTCAGCAGAGAACATCCCTGTACTTCTTCAAAACCTGCAATGCTATTTGGTACTGCATAACTACATCAAGAGTACTATTGAAAATACTTTGATTTCGAATGATGCTATAAGAAGTTTCGAAGAAAACTGCTTTTAGTCTTGGCTTTATGGCACATTTTGTCGTCTCTGCCTTTCCTGTTCCGTCCAGAACCAAAAAAAATGGACAGGCGGTCGACGGTGGGTGTTCGATATTTAAAATTTAATATTGCATCAGCTGCGAACCGCAATAAGAATTTTTATAACGCCTTCCCAACTTTAGATCGGATCTCTGTGGTTATATCATATGATGGATTTTATATTAGCGATCTGGGACGCGGGGTTCTATTATAATATGTATGTGTTAGGTTTTGATAGTTTTTAAAAAGGAATCGGATGTATTTAGAGTAGGAACCTACCTAAAACAAAGAAGGACAGGCATTTTTGTCCAGGAACCAATAACAATATGAGATATTTCATAAGAAGGGGTTTTTTGTGTTGTTTAATTGTTATTATGGCGGAGTGTCCGGAATCGCTGTGTCAAAAAAGTAATGACACAAGAAAGCCAGTCAGAAAACATTTTATTTTACTTAGTGATCATATTAGCTTAAACTAGACAAATCATATTGTGCGCAGCTTTTTCACAATACCCTGTAAATTGAAGTGAAAAAAGATGATTCAATAGGGTATTTGCACCGGTACAATATGCTTCAAAACGTATGGTCAATATGCGGTCGTATACAGTCCCGCTATGTAAGGGCAAGAAAATGTTCATATTACATATTGGTTAGCAGGAATGTAATTGACATTATATTGTACTTGTTTGACAGGGCCCCGACCAATATTTTTATTTGAGTGTGTATGCTGTTGGTCGCAGATGACCTTTACAGTGTCACCGGGTTTGGGGACAACGAGATCCTAAGGGGACCTTAAACCGAGAATTGGCGAGTGCCTCTTATCTAGAGGTATTCCAGGCGGATGGCGTTGCCCTATGGGGGGAGTCTCCTTTCCGTCTGGAGCCTCTAGACCACTCGAACCTGAGGGGTCCCGGTCAATAGGATTCTGTGCCCATTTTACTTCTACTGTGTAGTATCTAGATGTAGGAAGGCAAGCGCGGACAGCTGGCAACGGTTGCCGCGACTACACCAGCACTCCCGTCGTGTATTGGGGGGACTGTGGTCCTCAGAATGTATGCCGGGTGGCCGGTGCAGGAGTATGGTCTTGGTTTTAGTGGCCCTCTTCAAGGCGTTATGTAAGGCGCTGCTCATTTCACCCAGCCCAAGGGCTGTCTGAAAAGAGCAGGGAGGAATCTCACATACCTTCTTCTCGCTCCCCCGGTGGTTGAAGGGCGCTTAAGGCATTTCCCAGGCTAGGCATAAACCCTTTAATCATATGACAGATATAGATTGATAATAATGATAAAGATTTGTCATGTATTGCTATCTTGTGCAATTAGTGCTGTAAAATTCGATCAACAGCATGTAAATGTATCACGTGCAAAAGAATATATACTTACAGAACCCTAAGTGTCGCCGCATATTTCTTGTAGTATTCATACATTTTATATGAACTCGCCACACACGGTACGCCAGTGGCCGCCACACGCTACAAATCGTCGTTGCTCGCTTCTTGTGGCCCGCTCTGGCCGAACTTAATGCGCCGATACAAAACGCCGCCACACGTCACTCGCGCGATTCCCCACCCCTCTCTTCCTTGCCTTAGTCGGCCGCTGTCGCGCAC